CTTCTATTTTCTTCCAGTTGACTCAGACACTTCTTCCCAAATTGACGTGAAACGCTTGGACAACGCACATCTGTAAACTTCCTTAAGGGTGTGCATTTGGTTACTGATTTAGAAAATAACTGCATTTTAAAGGTCAAGGAACAGTGTTCAAGCACCGTTCTTGATGGCTGAACTCAAAAGTCTAAAATGTGTTTTGCATCACAGATGGAAAAAGATCTGAAGAGCTCTCTCCGCCTTCCTTTGGGTTTTCATGCCTCCAGACAGATCCGGAAAATTACCTTCAGTAAAAGCGAGGTTTGCATCCTGTGATGTGCACGACCGGCACGACAGCCCAATGTTTCTCTAGCAAAGCTGTTTCAACTGGAAGTCTTCCTTCTACTTCACGTTCACAAGCATAGGAAACACCCCGACCCTTGGCTGGCTGTTAGAGGTGCAAGGGTTACGTTTATGAGCTAAAAAGAAGGCTGAGAGGCTGCAGAAAAGACTTGCTATGGAGAAAGCAGGGTCTGCAATAAGCCTGCTTGGAATTGGCGGGGGGGGGGACCGAGTCCAAAGAACCAGAGCGAGCGACCCGACGTGACAAGAACGCTCACCTGAACTGAGCTGGTCCCTGCTTGGGGAAGATTTTAGAAGTCGACTCGGAAAAACGTAAAGGGCCTAAGTGTTTGTCTTGCTGTCTGAATAACCGCCACACTGTTTAACCCCGATCATCCGCCTCGGGCACAGACACCAGAACGGAGCACGGTAGCAATTCAGGAATCCAGGAGAAAGCAGCTCCGCTCAGCAGCTGCCACCAAGACCCAAGAGCTGGTGCGACCACTGTGCCTGTCTGGAGCTCCGATTATCGGTATACCTCATTCTTTTCTTTTTTTCCTCCCCCCTGCCCTGCCCTTTTTCTCCTTTTTTTTTGTTTTTGTTTTTTTTTTAAGAAGCAGAGCTTAGTGCACTCGATCACATTCAGGTTATTTTTTGTTGTAACTGTGCAATGAAGAGCAACTACACGGGGTGTGCATCTCCCACCTGCTCCCATGCTGGCTCCTGCGAGCCCAACCTCTGCTTCGTTTAGCACTTGCACTATTAATTGCTGAGCAAAAGGGCCAGGGAGGCGAGAGGCCAGAGTGCCTCTTGGTGGGGGGCAGGGATGACTCAGATGGACAGTAGGTACCCCCCTTTCATCTCTCCCCGGTTTCAAAGTGTGTAAATACACAGAGCTCCAAAGGCTGCCCCCGAGCCTGACGCAGGCTGGGGTTTCCAGTCCTGCTCCCCCAGCAGCAACCCCTCCCACGGAAGAGCTGGCAAGGAGGGAAGCATCTCGGGGGTGAGCATCTCGGGTGTGAGCAGCCAAGGCTGGGGCTGCTGCTCCCGCAGGAGACCCGCACCCTTGCGGAGGGTCACGCCTGTGGGGTGGGTGGAGGGGGAGCCCCAGGAGCAGGAAGGGTTTTCCCCTCCAGTGGGAGGGCAGGAGCTCATCACTGATCCCATTTCCCAGCAGGGTTGCCGTCTGTATATATCTGCTAAACCCCAGTACTCGCTTAAAAAAAAAAAAAAACAAAACAGAAAAAAAAGAAGAAAAAAAAAAAGGGACCTTTGCCCTAACACTTGCAGTGAGAACCATGAAGCAATGCTTGATGGCAGAGGGCCTCTGGACGGAGCAGCACTCCCCTCCTTGTACCCAACTGGCCAGGGACCCTGGCAGTGGATGCCTCTTGAATGTTAGCACTTTGAAGTTGGTGGCCTTGTTTTCTTAAAAGGGCTTGATCTTTTCATGCAGTTAAAAACTAAATAATATTCCCCATCGTGTTGTCCTACTCCCCATCTCAAATTGAAGCTACGAACAAGCACCTGGATCATTTAAGATGTTATCCAGGACTCAAGAATCTGTCATTAAGCTCAGAAGTTTATACCTCAAATATGAAAACATACACATTCTGTCTTAGTAACAACACTTGGTAAAGTAGCAGCTCCGAGTTTGAAGTTTGTCCTTGAATTTGATTACTAACAGCACCAGGAAATAAAACAAAGCAACACACAAAACCAAACACAGTGAAAAGCATTCACCAATGAATTTTTTAGAAGCACCCAAACTGAAGCATTCGTCCTATCAACAAAATCCAGAATTTATACTCCCAAACAAGAGACACCAGGTACTTAACACGTACCTTACCAATCTCTACACACAGCCTCTGCCTTTCCAACTGCGGCAGCCCCCTGAAAACCATGCGGGGGCGTAAAAGCGTTAAAGGTATGAGGCCGTGAGAGATGCACCCAGAACAACTCAGCCAGCCAGTTATTTCTAACCACAGCCCTTCTGCTTCTGAAGGCTAAAACAAGTATCTTGAGAGAGGTGCATCGTACAAAAGCGATAGAACCAAGGGCGGGCACAGAAACCTGTCCCATCTTCCATCCTCAAGTCCCCAACAAGCTGCATTGGAAAAGCATTTCCTAAACCAAGGGAGCCCCCTTCGATGGGGAAGTTGTCAGAGCTCCGTTAGCCACGAGTTCGTTGCTACTACGAGCCCGACCTCCAGTCTCTGGCAAAAAAGGCAGCAGAGACCTCGCCCTTCGAGGGGCGCGCGCCCCGCGGGCACCCGTTACCTGCGGGGAAAGGGAGAGTTGGGTGCACGACTCGGATGGGGACTGACACACTCACCCTGGGGGGGTCGCGTAGTTTTGGAAGCCAGGACGTTGGCCAACGACGTCGGCTGCCTCGCCCAGCCTGCTCGTCTTTCGTGATAAACTTTGCTTTGATGACAGATTCGCAAGTTGAACAACTCCACCTTAAAATAAACGCCGCAGAGGGGTGAACCAGGGGGTCCTTTAAGCCCCAGTTCCACGTTCAAGACAAGGGGATGGGCTTGTGATGGATACTTGAGAATGGTACTAGATTTAAAAAAAAAAAAAGCAAATGGCAATTTTATACCTGTGTAATGTAATGTTTTCTATGTGTGTGGTCTTTCTTAATGTAAAACTCTTGTATTTTTGTGGTTTATATGCAGCAGGACTGATGGCTGTGAGGGTGCACGCTATTTTGTAAAGTATTCTTAGCCAGTTTTCCCAAGGAGGAAAAAAAAAAATACTGAATATTCACATTTTCATTGGCTTGTACCTGCATGTACAGTATTGGAGCAGCAAGTGAAGATGATTAAAGCCAGCTTGAAAACTTTTTTTCTGTGCTTGAGTTCAGCTTCACAAAACATCCAGCCCAAAACTAAAAAAAGACAAAAAAAGCCACCATTAAAAAAAAATAAAAATGCTGGGGAGGAAAGGGAGAGGAAGAAACCCTCTCTTTTCCAGAAAAAAAGCAGATTTTGACTTAAGAAAAGAAATACCATTATTAATATGCAAGCAGAGTCCCACCAAACGCAGGCTCAGGCAATCAGCTGAGCTCTCTCCCCTGCAGCTGCACGCAGCCACCCACAAGCCCAAAGAAAACCATCCTGCAGATCCGTTCTCCCGGCAACTCCTACATCCCTCCCCAGCCTTTCCTCTTCTCACTGTTAACCAAGTCCTGTAAAAAAATAATAATAATAATAAAAAAATAATCTACCTTTTGGCCAGGTCTCAGTCAGGTTTCATTGAACATCAGCGTGAAGCTCCAGCCCTCAGAATTTGTGTCCGTGGCCCCAGCTGCAGGAACGCCGCGTTTACCCACAGCCCTACGCCGCGAGTCTCTGTTCTACATAAAAAAACCCATCAACTGACCTGATTCTGCCTCTGCCGAGCCCCGTTCTTTGCACCCTGCTAGTCCCCAGCTTGCAGGAGAACATTATTCTCGCCTGACATTTGGGACGCAGCCCTGCTGCAAAGCAGATGGGCTTGGTCCGATTTGGAGGGAAGGCTCCCGATCGCCGCACCTGGAGCCAACAACTCGCACCAGCGAGAGGAGTGTTTAACATAATCTGCTGTGCTGATTGAAAAAAATAAACAAACAACCACCACCAAACACCAGGATAAGTCGGTTAAGGTTTCACTGCAATATTTTATTTGGGAATTTACATATACACAGGATAAAGTAGACCACAGAAGTCTGACTTCTTGCTCACGCCGATGAGTTTAAGCAGTTTGTGTTCTACTGAAGATGAGAAAAGAAATCTGACCCACCCACTTCTTATGCCTAGATTAAAATGTCAAAAAAGCTAATTGGGAAAGGGTACCGGGATTACAGAGGAACAACAACAAAAAAAAATGAAAAAAGTATAAATTAGGATGTCATAGTCATTTTAAAAGTGTAAGAAAACTTGCAGCGGGCTCTCAGCCCTTGATAAGTTAACGCTCCGTTAGATTGTTAAAAGTTAAATACATCAATACCACGTATTAGACAGAAAAGCCACTCTGAAGTGCAAGTTTCACATTCCAAACGGCTTGCCCCCACACTGTGCGAGAATCCTGCTTGCTCACGGGGGGAGGGAGAGGGGTCTTCAAGATGACTTTGGTTCCAATGAGGGTCGGCGAGCCAAGCACAGCGAGGCCTCAGCTCCGGAGAACTCCACTCAAGGGAAGAGGTAGCAAGGCTTGCTTGCCCCTGGGCTTGGGTTAAAATCCAGTTTCACAGCACCAAACAAGGTTTTCACCCCTCTGCTAACCAAAACCCCTACTAACACTAGAGTTGAAGTGATTTTGGAAAGGCCTGGCATTGCAGGCAGTACTCAGTACAGGCTTCCCAGGTTCCTCGGTCACACCTCTGCTAAGATACCCAGCAGGACGTTAAGTGCTACCCAGAAGCATTAGTGGAGGTTTGTGCAAGGAGGGGCTCCACCCCAGAAGTGTGCATTGACTGTGCTAAATACAGGGGGGCTCAGGTTCTGATCACCGAGGCTTCACCGTGTCTGACAGTGAAAAGGCAGAGATGGGTCTCAGTTACGGAAAGAGGTTCAGGCCGGGCAGCCAGCCAGAAAAAACAAAACAAAAAAACCCCAGAAAAACAAAAAACAACCCTGAATGTCTCATGGAGCAGTTTTGAAGAACAGAACAGAAGGCAAAAATGGTCACAACGCAAGGGATCATTTCCACATCGGAGTGCTGAGGGACTGATTGCTTCCCTGGGCACCTCCTCCACCCATGGACTGTCCATATCCCATCACGCCGTTAGCTCCATAGAAGTTCATCCCAGCCATCTGCTGGGTCATCTGCAAAGGGGAGAGCAGAGAAAGTCAAGGAGACAGCAAGCCCACAGCAGTCAGAGGTAAAACTCTTGCTCCTCGACCTATTACTGGCTTAAGTAAGCTTTTCTCTCTAATTACTAATGACAGGACAAGGGGAAATGGCCTCAAGTTGCATCAGGGTAAGTTTAGATTGGATATTCGGAAGAAGTTCTTTACTGAACGAGTGGTGAGGCACTGGAACAGGCTGCCCAGGGAGGTGGTGGAGTCACCACCCCTGGAGGTGTTTAAAAGAAAAGTAGATCTAGCACTTGAGGCTGTGGTGTAGTGGTTAGATATGCTGGGATGAAGGTTGGACTAGATGATCTTCAGAGGTCCCTTCCAACCCCTAACGTTCTGTGATTCTAGAGTTATGGTGAACAGGTCACTGACTTCTCAGGGGTATGCCCATCTAATCTAGCAAACTAAGGAACTTTTCATTTTAGCTAACGTTGCACTAGTTTTTGTTCTTCACCAAGCATCGAGACCTCTGTAGAGATCCCCCAGTTTGCCCTCAGGCTCTGCAGACCTCACCCAACCCCATGAGCCAGGCTCTAGAAGCACCGAAACCTTCAGGTAACAGGCTGGGTTTAACCACAAGCGTCAGCCCTGCCCTCCATCCCCCTTTGGGTCAGCAGAAGATCACTCCTCACCTGAGCAATGTTCCACTGAAGCTGCTGTGCTGGCTGGACGCCGTAGACGGGCTGAGGAACCGCTGCCATGCCAGCTACATAGCCAGTCTGCTGCGCAGCCATCATCCCGTTGGGGACGCCGATGACAGCAGCCTGCACATTCCCCACGTACCCAGCTGGGATGGCCATGGGAGTCACCATCCCCGCAGCTCCAGGCTGGGCCATCATCCCCACCGAGGGTGCCATCATGCCTCCCATCATGCTGCCGGAGGGCGCCACCCCTGGAAAGCCAGCGTACGCTGCTGCGGGATACGCCACCTGAGCTGGGGCCATGAACACTGCTCCTGGGAAAAGGCAGAGGAGAAACAAAGGGAAGAACTGCTGCGTTCATTGTCAGGGGCTGAAGCACCGACCTTCCAATCAGAGACTATGACAACATTCACTTGGCCACGACACCCAGACTAAGCTGCTCATAACGCTACTCGCCAGTTCTCAAGAAGGACCACCCACATTCCCACATCTCTGCTTGTCAGCTATCAGGACATCCCACCCACTCTGAATTAGTGGGCTGCCGTTCCACAGCTCTATTCTGAGATCTGTTACCTTGCGCAGGCAGCTGAGGTGTCTGAGAGCCGTACAAGGAGAGGATGGAGTCTTTTGAGAGCTGCTTCTTCCCCACTTCCTCGCTGCCTTTGCCTCCCGGCTCAGGGAAGAGGTTCAAGTTCTCAGGGACAGAACCAGCACTTCCAGATGTTGGCATGGAGCCCGTGACCTGAGACAGAGATGGCACAAGGGCAACAGCAGCGTTCAGCACCAGGGGAACACACGGATCATCATCTCATTCAAGTATCTAACGAGGCTTTGTCATCAAGCACTGACGTTCCCTCCTTACCTTCCTGGAGTCAGAGTTTGATCCCACCGACGCGAAAAGGTCGAGATCCTTCTCTAAGCTGCTAGGCCTGCCGTTTGTAACTAGGGTTGTCACAGGAGCATCTGGGAGAAACAAAGCCACAAGGGACAGACACAGATGGCCTCGGGCTGAGGGGCAGCCTCCTTGCCAACGAAGCAGTTTGCACATATGCCGCTCAACCCAGTGACCCGACCCGCCGCCCACTTCAGCCAAGACACGTTGCCAGCTCTTCCTTCTCGTGCTGAGGAGCTGGCTGGCAGGAGCGAGGAGGTGCGCTGCCCTGGATCTGTCCTACTAACCTCGGAGCAGCCAGGAGCCACGCTGCGCCTGCAGACCCCCACAGCTGCTCCTGCGCTACTACAGGCAGGAGCATGGCACTGGCACAAAGGAAAACTCATCCTGAAGGGGCTCTGAGCGCCGTGCTCAAGTTCTACTGAAGCAGTTTAAGCAAAACTCGCTAGCATTTCTACCAGATATCGTTCACCTGACAGGGAAAATAAGTACTAAAAGCTCAAAGTCAGAAGGTCAAAGATGGTGTCTGGGGTCACGGTGACAGGTGCAACAAGGCTGGAAAGGCTCTTACCAAGTCCTAGCAAGTCCATTACTGGTTCGGTGGATTTAGGAGAACTTTTTCTAGACTGCTGTGTTTCTTCTTTCTTTTGAGGCTAGGGAAAAAGAACACCAGGAGTCTTGTTCAAATCTGGGCTTTACTCTGATACATTACAGACTTTAATGAGAGATTAACCCATAAAATTTTTTTTTCAGGGGACATAAGTGCTTCCAAAGTGAACAGGATCTCAGAGTGAGTATTACACAGTTGGTTTATTGTCCCGTTATGTTGGAACCCACTGTCAAATTCAAGTAGGCTCTAAACTAGGAAAAAAAGGAACCACTCAAGCTGGAAAGCCAAGCAGGGAGTAGCTGGATTCCAATCTGCTCTGCACTGTAATGCAGAATGTGTCTGCTTAGTATCTGGTTGAGCAGAGGAAAACAAGCTACTACCATTAGTGTGACTCAATGCATCCACTGCTATGACTGAGGCCAGAAAAAATGCTTCCATATCAAGCTGGATTACCTCTGTTCTGCTTGAGAGAAGTCTTTACAATTGATCCATGACCATGCCTTTTGGTCTTACCATTTTCACCTTCTCAAAGATGATAGGTTCCAGTTTTCTTTCTGATACTGGCTCAGTACTCCTTTTCCATTTGTCATCCTTTTCTTTCTGTAAGGAAAAGGACACCAGCATGAGGGCCAAGACTCATGTCACCATACCAAGAGAAAGCAATGCTGTTACTAATCTAGAAAGCCTCAAAGATAAAGACGTGAGCTTGAAGCTACTCCAGCTTTGAGCAAGGAGTTGGATAGGAGGGCCCCCTCCAGTTTAAATTCTTTCTACAGAATGACTGAACGCAATCAGCCTCGGAGAAGAGATTAGTCACTAATACAGGAAACATTTAAACTGTCTATTTTCATAGTCACTGCTTACTCATAAGGCAGACATACACTTATATCTTAACAAGTGACGAGAGACTAACCCTAAAGGCATTGATGTCGATACTTCGGTCCATGTATTTCTTCTTTTCATATTTATCCCGAATGAAGCTCTCCACAGCTCTGCAAGCAGCTTGTTAAAGACAAATGACTCAAGAATAGAAGACTTACGTAGTATTATTTGACATGTGGAGACAAGGAACAGGCCGTAACTAAACTAACGACTGTTTAAAGAGCATTTCCAGCAGCAACTTTCTTAAAATAATTTAGTATCGGATCCAACTACTTCAGCTACCCAATTTTTGCCCTTGGGTTATTCCAAGCATGTTGGTGCTATAAAAGGTACATTAAATCAGGGCTTAAATTCCTAGCCTGTTTTCTTCCCTGATGTGTATTTACTTCAACCATGGCTTTAAGAGCACACACGTCATTAGTGCAAATCACACACTGGTCAGAACCAGATCCTGTGCCTACAAAAGCGCCTCAGCCACCAGCTTAAGACAAAAATGATGGTAGAGGTGTGCTCCTGTGCTTCCTTCGGTTCACATCACTACACCCTACGGCACTCAGCATCCAGAAACCCTCCTGTAAGGTAGAAGTTACAGCCTCATTTTCCAGAAGCGCTAAACCTTTTTATCCGCCTCCACTGAGAATTTTAAATGCTCGACAATCTCAAAAGTCAGCCCCACCCTTTGCCACAGACTCTAACGTGCACCTCGTGCAGTAAATTCAGGCCGTAACGTTCCTTTTCGGGTTCTCCACCCTGACAGCTCAGGAAGCCACCCTTTGAGCTCCCTTCTGCTTTGTTCTGTAAGTGAGCAGCCTGGGGGTGAAGCACCGCTCAGAGGGCGCCTGGCTAGGAACGTATTCTCGCAGCTGACGCTCAGGCTCACGAAGTTCAGGCTCCTGCGCAAGGAGCGCAGCTACAAAGCACCAAGATGAAAAGGCTCCACGTTTCCCCCGCAGCAAAGGATGCTGATCTGTCTGAGGTCGCCTGAAGTTCTCTGGCAGGTAGGCTTCGTAAAGACGATTTGCTTTTCCATTTCCCATTTCTTGCATGCACTGCAATTTAAAATAATTTCACAGGCGTTAAAGATCTAACGCATACGAGCATGTCAGGCTACCAAGCGAGAGACTATGTGCGTTAACTAGAAGGCACAGGTAGACTTCAGAAGTCTATTCTGTACCCAAAAGCTGCTCTTCAGGCTTTTGGTGCAAGCTTACTAGCTGGGACTCCAAATTATTAGCCAGTCCTAAGCACCACGGCAGACTATTTATTCAAAGACAAGACAAATATCACATTAGCAACCTCAAGTCACTCTGGAAATCCAAGATTTGACTTCTGAAAACCTCAAGGAGAGGAGACAGGCAGCAGCTCCAGACAACAGCAGCCTTTGGCACGTTCACAGAAACTTGCAGAGCGTTCGTCCTCACCCTCTGATGTTTGTTGAGCCTGAAATTACGGCATTTTCCCTCCCAGTCTAACCCAGCTTGATATCTTCCTTCCTGCTTCACCTCCCACATCTTCGGGCTACTCAGGCTTTGTTTACCTCCAAGTTTACGAAGCCCCGCTCGCAGAACAGCACCGTTCACGTTTCACTCGCGTTACCTGTATCTGTTCTTGTGTCCACTGGTCAAGATTGACAGATTTTACCCTGGATATATGAACTCCGAGGTTCCTGTGGATCCCAGCACAACGAATGCAGATGAATACACCGATATTCCAGGATGCCCATCGGGGCCCTGCGAAGATACACAAGCGTTTCGCATCATCAAATCAACCCGCAGTTGCCTTGGACAACTGAGAAACTGTACCAAGTGAACTGGGACCAAGGTGTCTACATTTTCATCCAGGTTAGAAATTGGACATCAGGAGGATGTTTAAAGGTTGCCTCCCAATTGTTAGAGTTTGCATTTTAATGCCTCCCCTCTCCCATTTTGAGAGCTCTGTGTGAGGCAGACAGCTCTAGGAAGAAGGAAGAAAACAGGCATTCAAACCATCCAAGACATTACAAAAATCCTCATTTCATCTTGTGTAAACCGACGTAACAGTCAGGTCAATATAAGGCTGCACTCCTGCTTTAGCAGTGGAGAAACTTTCTCACATAACCTTATGGCAGTGGAATCAGCTCCAGAATATTCACTGCTGCTTGAGGAGAAGCAGCATAAAATACTCAGCATTTGACTTAGTCTGCATCATCAAATCTTCTGTTCGCCTGCTCCAGGGAGCGGCAGGTGTGTGAGGAGAGCAGCACAAAGGCCAGCACTTGGGCCACCAGAAACGCGGAGCCAGTGGCAGAAGCCCAGGCTGTGATCCTGGCACACGACCAATGAACAGTTCACTCCACAGTTTCTGCAGCTCTAATCAAGGTTCATGGGTTGCATGCGGCTTTCAGACAGGCAGGAGAGCTCCAAGGTGTAGAAGGGAGATCATGCCAGCAGGAAAAGATAATAAAATTAAAAAAAAAGAAAGAAAGAAAACAACCAACCACAAGGGAAAGATCAACAAGCTTAGTTTTACTCACTGCAAACAGTTCTTTGAAGGAAACTCAGCAATGCAATACCCGGGGACGGCAGAGGTCTGCAGGCACTCCCACCACCCCCCCAGCCAGGGCCAACAGACCTGGTCATCAAAACCCTCAGTGCTGAAGACCAGCTTCAGAAGCAGTCCTCTGCAGTGCAAGACAAGCAGGATTTTAAAACTAAAATCACCGGGCCAGAGCTGCCCGACAGCTGCACGGTCACCGTGGCCAGCTCTCCCCGGGGTCTGCGTGTCCCCATCCATGGGCAACGGCCAAACAGCCACAGCGAAGCCACGTCCCGCGTGAGGGACCCGACACGCTCCAGCAAACGGGGCTGGCCCTTTCTACAGGCATTAGTGCAGATGGAGAGCTATTCCATCTTTTCTTGCCGTAGTTAAAATAGCCTCAAAGCTAATGAGGCTGAGGTGGGAGGGGGAAGGTGTAATTTCAAAGCCCTAAAAAAGCAGCACTGTATCTGACTTTCCTAGATACGCTAGATGGTTGTTAGCAGTTTCATTCCTATTTACTGGGAAAGTCCAGAGTATCCTGAGGGATTTGGGGTTGCTGATGAAGTCTGTGGCTCACAGGCCCTTCCAGGGCAAAGGCATGAAACCTTTAACCTACCTCCAGTACCTAACCCAGCTAACTCGCACTATGATTTTTAAAAAAGACTTTATTATGGTCTATTGGGTTGTGCTGCCATTGCTTTCTGCTTTTTCACGAGAAGAGAGGACCTTGAGAATGATGCTAATTTAATGAAGTTGATGAAAGTCACTCCCTAGCTTGGAAAAGACCTTAAGAGCAGCACACACTTGCCTCAGCATCAAAGCAGGGGCCCACACTTTTAGCAGCACCGAAGTACCCCAAGTACCCATTAAAGCACAGGAATAAAAGGCTTGTTCACCTGCAGCAAACCAGGGTGAAGCCAGGAACCCTGATCCTTCGTTTGATTTATTTGTGGATCCTCCCACAGATACACCCCGAAGGCTAGATAACGTGAGACTGCTGGTGGGATTAAGCATGAGATTCAAGGTTAGATTTAAAGTCTAGATATATTTAGCCTTTATCGGACTAAAAGGATTAATAGCCAGCTAGATACTACATCAGGGCTGCAGTAATCAGCTCACTGGTTTGTCACATGTGCTAGCTCAAGCCCCTGCAGCCTCCGACCCCGCGATGCCACATGAGAGAATGACTCAGGGGCAGAGTCTGTCACACCCATCCTGCTCTAGTGTCACTTCACTTGGGATGCAGGGTCTGAAACAGCGAGGGCTGAGTACCAGGAGAGCAGCTGGCCCTTGCTGCCACCCCTAGATCCCAGCTCTGGATGACCCCAGTACTGGAGCAGCTTCATTATGCCACTGAAAATGTTAAAAAACCCAACCAAAAAAAACCCCAACACCAAACCCAAAACGTAGGCTTTCAAAAACCCCCCTAGCAGCTACGTTTGGTTTGGGGATAAACACGTATTATACAGCCAAGGGGAGTGCTCTTCGCTGATGTGTATTCCAGCCAGGGTCTGGCCGTCCCTGTGGTGCCAATAAGTGCCACGAGAACGGCTTCAGAGCTCCAGACTAGAAGAAATGCCAGAAGCTGGGGGAGGCAGGGTGGGTTTTGTCCAGAGCCAGGAGGAAGGTGGCGATCCCCAAATCTGCTCCCCGACACAGTGGTGACTCTAGAGCCACGCCAGGAGGATATTTAGCTGGTCCCCCAAAACCCTGATGGAATCCCACAGCTCTGTGATGCACTGGAATGGCAACTCCAGATCCCCATGCATCTGGGTACAACCAGGTTAAAACAACACTGTTAGCATCTAATTTCGGGTGAAACACTTAGTTTTTGTGGGCAAGGGGGGGATGGGGTCGGATGCTGTAAACAAGCCTCCCACTTCCCTCTTCTGAGGCTGCGATGAAGGAGCCTGCTCTAGAAATCACATGAGGAAGTGCCCCGCAAAGATCTGGCCGGGGGAGAACTTTGTGCAGTCACTTCCCCAGTCTCACAGGCCGTGTTCAAGGTGACTGACTTGCAGAAAGCCCCAGGTGATATTTACAGATATGAATTTGTTCACATGTTACAGCCTTTAACTTCCCCAAAACTCAACCAAGCTGAAGACTGTCCAGAAGCTACAGCACTGAGAGAGGGGGCAAAACGCCTTTGGGGAAGGGCAAAGTTTGTCAGAGAAAAATGTTTTTATACTGGTTACTCCCTTTCTTTTTATCAGCGCCGCAGGAGCTGCCGCGGAGCAGTATCTGCCCTTGCAGCCTCCCGCACGCCCCGACTCTGCTCGCCCAAGGGCACGGCGCAGCAGCACTCTGCCCTCAGGTTCAGTGAATCGTGGGGACTTGCACGCAAAAGGTTTTAGGATGAGGCTAAGGAAGCATTTAGCTGGTTAAACCACGAGAAAGAAACACGAGAGAAATCTGTTCTCACAAGAATACTCTCGCTAATGTTACAGAAGTAGCTCCCTCGGGGCTGGCAGCAGCCAGCTCTGGGGCTGAAGGAAAAAACTCACCTCCCATATGCAAAACTGTGAGCTTGCTGCAATGACAGCCAGCATCAGGCACACGAGCCTGACGGTGCAGTCACTTTTGTTTCAGTATTACAGCTAATTTTAACACCCAGAGCAAGCAAGTTACTTGGCACGAACCCGAGCATAGCTTGTACTGCTCTGATGAAGCACCTCATGCCCCTGCGCATCACCTCACGCGTGCACAGATCCTTCCTGGAGAAGGCCAACCATCTGCAGGTGAACATGAGATAAAAGAAAATGACAGTTTCGAGGAAAAATCAAAAAGAGAATTAAGTGCCCGGCTATAAGCTCGCTCCTGGCACGATACTTAGGCTAGACCAGACCACCCTGGGATATATTCCTGGCCTGGCAGCGGTCGCAGGAAGATCACGAGTTTAAAAGCATCTATTGCTCAGTCGGTTTTCATTTTAGAAAGCTGCACTGAATACTTGAGCGTATTCCTAAGCAGGGCTGCACCACCATCCAGCAGAGACTAGAAAGATGTGTGCGAGAACCTCGGCTGCCCACGAGACAGTTTCACAGCCTGTTTTATATCCCATCCTGTCAAAATAAACCCTGCATACCAAGCTGATCATACCAGCTTAAGTTAGCATCTAATCCAGAATTATTAATGCCTACAAGGACTGCCTGAATGATCTGCCCTTACTGAAAAGGTTCCCAATTCCCTTTAAAATCCCGGTGCAGTGTGGCTGGTCCACTTCACGTCTTAGTCACGGGCTGAAAAGTTCACACCCTTGAGTGTTTTTAATCAAGGAACCCGAAGGGGATTCTCTCCTCGCCCTTTATTCAGGCTTTAGTTTTTGGCTCAAGCTACTTGCACAAGTTTCTTCACTAATAAACCTCCAGAAGGCATTTAAAAATAAAACAGAAGTTGGCTGCAAAGCCACTGCTCATTTGAGAAGGGGAAAAGGGGGAGGAGGGGGAGGCAAAAAAAGAGATGCTTTCATAGGCAGGAAGGAGAGAGCATCGCTGTTCCGAGCCTGATGAAATATTCTCAGTGCAAACAATCATTTGCCTCTCGGCTCCCTGCCTGCGAGCACTCCAGCAAAAGCCCAGCTGTGACGGGGAGCCCTGCCCGCGCAGCCCATTGAGGCCGGCGAACACTGCGGCGTGTGTTGGGCTGCGGCGCTGGGCAGCCACCCCCTCCGCGCTCACAGGGGAAGGGGATGTGGGAAATTCGCCCCGGAGCCGGATAAACCCCTCCCGAGATGACACTCACATCCTCTCGCACAAGCCTGCACCAGTCCTTTGGAATCTCTCAGCGAGGCGAAGTTGAAAAGCCCCACTTTCTGTGGCGCCAAACGAGGAACTGGCCAAGCATCCAAAAGCTTCCTTTGACTTGTGGTTTCCTTATTCTGGAAAGAGATTGCTTAATGACTTACTGAAATTCATTCCGCTCATCGAAGAGGCCGTGACAAAGGCTGTCTTACAAAACAGCTTCCTCTGCTCTTTCCTGTAGATGTCTGTTCTGCAGTTGAGTGGTCGAGTTAGTTTGGGGAAAGCTCTGCTAGCGAGAAAATGCAACTACACTTCAAGATCTCTAAATTCTGCTATTTAGTTATTGGCACTCTGGCCTGAGCCTGGGCCCTGAGGCAGGGTTCATGGACCTTTCCGAGCTCTGTGAAGCACTAAAACCTGCTGCCGCCCCAGGATTTAGGACCAGCCTAAGTGATTTGTGTAGTTCTCGGGCAGCCA